ACTAGCATTAGTTACTGTTTCAGCTATTTCTTTAGAAAAATTCATAGATAGAAAAATTCCATACACACAAACCGAAGATAATATGCCCGCTCTTAGCACACCCATACAACAATATATAATTATATGAGCCGGCTTAAATAAAACGGGGTGTTGACTATACATAATTACATTTAAGATATATTTACCTGCAAAGAGCTTATACTGCCTAGTCTTCATGTTAATCTTGGAATTTTTTGATATGAGCCCTGCAAAAATAAAATTTTTAAATTTAATACTGGTAAAATTATAATATATCACAACATATAAATACTATTAAAACCTTATTTATAATATAATTACTGTACATTTTTACTTTAAATGGCAATTAAAAAATATACTGTATAATATTTGATTCAAGATGATTATGTTAATTAAAAATTTATATTGAACAATGTAATTTTTTTTTTCATTTATGTTTATGCTATTTAAATATAGCTTATTCAAAATGAGATTGGTACTTGGCGGCGACCTGGTGACGAGTAGGGCACTCGTTGAATCAACTTGTCGAGGTCTCTCGGGACGCTTCGGTCGCCGCCTTCGCTTTCAGCATGCTTGTTATAAGTGCGTCCCTATACTAGGTACTGTACATTTTAAATTATTTGAACTCGTCGGCAACAGATGGCTATTTAGAGCAGACTATAGTAAATTAATAACAACTATAACACTATTATTGTTGACAAATCCAGCTGTTTAAAATTAGGGATGGGCCGATACCACTTAATACCAATATCCGATATTCCGCTATTTGCTGCCGATATAAAACCGATACCCGATAATATATGGAAATGTTAAAACAACATTTTTGACAAAAAAAATATGAGCCGATACCACCATAAAACCGATACCTGATAACACAAATAATATTACCTAAAAAAGTGAAAACATTGATTATTATAAAATAATCTAAAGTATTTGATTATTGATAACCTAACCTTGTGAATTATGATACTATGCTGATCGATAGGTTTTTTTTTTTTGGTATCGGTTGAAATGTCGGTTTTGAAAAAAAACCGATACCGATAAAACCGATATCTAGTATCGGCCCATCCCTATTTAAAATATTAATTAGTTTTAGTAATGAATTATTATAGTTCTTAGATTATATTTTTTATATTTCTTAATGAAATTTTTTTTGTTAAATATAATAAATTATTTATTGTTGTATATAATACACAGACTCATACTAAAAGTGTAATTTTCGTTATTCTGACCATAGAATATTGTTGTTTAACATAAGTCAACTGTCAGAAAATAGTTTTGATTTTCCACTTTGGTACACAAGTTGTAAAAATATTAAACCATCAGTAGACCAAAAGTGGACAGGGACACAATGTAACGACAACTATGAAACACTATTTGTATGACACTACACTAAGCTTTTGAATATAATTTATTCAAATGCTACTCTTAAGAGTCAAATTTATGTACCCAAATTTCAAAAACAAATCTTAGAAAAAACAAATAGATTTGAAGAAAATAGAAATATGGAATTTGTGATTAAGTAATAAAATAAGCACTTACTAGGTTCAATTTTAAGATCAACAGAGAACTCGACGTTTTTCACAATTTTAGTCAGTTTTTGTTGCTTGTATTCAAAACATTTAAGATGCAATAATAAGACATAAGGTAGTTCATCGATAGTAACTTGTTGGTACGCATCTACTTCACGGTTGGTTTTTGGACAAGTTAATCCTTCGAGTGTGTCTTTATTGACTAGCATGTCCAAAGCTTCTCGGACAGATTTTGCTTTCTAAAATGAATAAATATTTATAAAATAAGATAATAATTTATTAGTTTTCCAATAACATATACCTCTATGTCTAGCTTAAGCGTGAAGAAAGGTTCAATATTTTCAGTCGGTTCATTTTCACCATTTTTCACTGTGCGGGTACGCAGTTGCCCACGGAATATCTCTGACAAAGGAGTCTTTTCCATAACTGTTCTTCTGGTCACCATTTTATGTTTACCGTTAACTTCCTAAAATATAGATAAATATACAAATTTACAAAAAATTCAAGCCATCAGTATTCATAAGTACTAACCTTCCATTCATTGTTATTATCAATAGCATCTACTTCGGCTAGTGCTTCACCATTGCTTATGTTAGATTTGCTCATTTTAATTAACTGAAAATAGTTTATTTATTAACAAATGCACGGTGGCAAGAACCTGTAACTTACTTCAATCATTTCATCATTAATTCCATTAAGAAGATAACTCATAAATTCTTCAGCATCTTCTTGGCGGCCTTCTTCAAAAGCTGGTAATATTTTATAAACATAACTTGGCTCAAATGCTGGACCAGTATCAGGTGTTTCTTGAGTAGCCACAGATGTAGCTTGACGTTGTTGTTGGGTGGTTCTACCATTTTTAATGCTTAATTGTTGAAATTCTCCAATAAACTGAACCCTAATATTCAAAATTGTTATTATTTGCAATTTTGGTGATCATTTAATACACAAGATATAACAACATACATGCTTTCTAAGATTGGGGTTTGGGATTTTTGTGGTCCTCCTCGATTGTTTCTATTTTTGAGTTTAAATTGTACACTTCTCATGAGGTTGAAAAAAGGAGGGCAAGTTAACAAAGCCTGCAATGTGGCATTTATATAACAACGCGTGTTACGATTGGTCAAACCTCGAGGTTGTAAATGAGCAGTTTTGTGATCCAAATTATAAACCGAAAGAAATTCTACATAAAAAAATAATTATCACATTAGTCTACATTATCAGTAACACTAATATTAAAACAATAACAACGTAACTTACCACCTAATCTTTGTAAATTTAATGCATTATCATCAACATTAGATAAAGAGTTGCTGCTTGATGGCCTAGGTTTAGCTGGTAATGTTTGTTTTTGGTTGTTATTGGTTACAAATACTGATGTTCGGATTGCATTATCAGGTAAAATTCTTGATGGCATAATTATAGATTCTGTATTGGTATTGGTAGTTGGTTGGCTACTACCGTGTAGTGTGAAAACTTTATCATTACTTGTACTAGTACATCCAGTAAATAGTCCTGCCCATGTTTTAAAAACAGGTTTAACAGGTTCAGTGTCTTGAACTTCGGGTATAACTACAGGAGGAATAGAAGATGAAGAAGTCTGTTCTGGATTTAAAAGAATGTTTTCTTTCAATTCTACAACAGGAGTTACATCTTCAGTTTTAGTTTCTTCCTTCTCAGGCTTTTGGATTTCTTGTATCACATCTGGAGGAATAGTAGGGGCAGGTTCTTTCTTTTTTTTTGTTTTATTAGATGGGGGTTCTTTAATTTTTTCACAAGACACAACAGGTGGAATTGTTTCTACAACAATAGGCACGTCACTCACAATAACTAATCGTTCATCACTTGTTACATCTGGTATAATTTCAATAACTTCCTCACAGTCTGGTTGAACTTGTAACTCTTCTTCTTTATCCTGGGGTATCGACATTATTACTGGATCCACTGGAGTCTCATTAACATTTTCTGGTACTTGAGGATAAATATTATGCACTGGTGGAATTGGATTAACATTAGGTTTGCATGATTCGACTAAAAGAGGTTGCTGAGGTACTTGACCAGATGGTGGTGAATGGTACATAGGAGGACCAGGTTGTTGGTATGGATTGTATAAAGTAGGATGTGGATGAGGGTACATAGGATATGTCGGATGCCCATGATGAGGAGGCAAGTATAATGGACTATTTTGAGGTGAATAATAATAATGTGGAGGAGGGACAGCAATATATGTTGGTGGTGATTGATAATTGGCCATTTCCATATTTTCTGGATGTCGATAGGCAATATCATTATTCCGTTTCACATTTGGCGGAGGAGGAATCCCTTTTGGATTCCTGGAAATGTTTGGGCGCCTAAGATTAGGGTCCATAGTTGGTTCTGGTCCAGGATACATTGGTTGTTGATATGGCGACATTTGAGATGGGACATATCCATGTACTGGCGGAGGTACATTACCCATATACACTGGAGGATTTGGCACCATTTGATAAACTGGTGGAGGAGGACCAGGAACAAAATTTCCACCATTTATCATCACAGGGTTCTCAGGTTCTGAATCACCATTAACTGTTGGATAACCACAATCTATTATTACGCGTTTTTAAGTACTGTATTTTAAATAACTAAAATTAAAAAAGAAGAAAAAAAAGTTAGTTAATATACCATATTCATCTGCTGCTGTATTCCAATCAGAAATATGTGGTATGTTGCCCACTTCGTTCATTAAACCTGGTGGAGGAAGTGCTTGAGGTTGAGTCCCGCGAAAAGTCCATGGAAAATCAGGATGTTTGAATCCATCTTCTCCAGACACCCATGACTCGTTCCGTGCGGAATACAGCATGTGCAGCAATCGGCCACGTTCCATGTCATTGATGTCTGTGAAATCGAGGAACTCAAACTCCTAGACAAATTGAATAAAAATCAATACAGAATTTTTATTAAAAGACAAATATCAGTTATTATCTACTAAAATAATCATATCTTTAAATGAGAAAATATGTAACAACTTGTAAATGGATAACTTCCAAAAACACACTTATGTTTTGAATGTTATAAGGATTCAAATTGTTGTTGGAATAAAAAAAATTAACTAAAAAATTAAATAGGTAGGTGGTTGTTTTCAATATGCTGGTACTCATGGAGTTCGACCACGATTAGAGAGTCAATATTGTTACTGTTTCTTTTTTGTATGTTACAGAATACTGAGTAACATTAGTACCTATGACTCAATCAAATAATGAAGAATAAAAAATAAAAAACAAGGCCTGCTTGGGTTCTTGTCCAAATGTATGACGACGTATATAATAATATCAATTATTTATCTTGCTGTGGTATTAATGCTGTCATCTGTTAACAGTTCAAAAGAAATTCTGTTACCATCAACTTGATAATAATTTACTATGCACACATCTACACGACATATGCACACACCTACACGACATACACACACTTACTCAAATTGTCTATAGTAGACTTTAAATAAAGTTAGTATCAAATTCCCTCAAGTATAAAGACATCATATAGTATCAATTGCATTTGTTTGAATAAGATATGGTTTCTAGAACTCTTTAAATTCCTAGGCAATACGAAATTCAAAATGTTTGAAATTTGAAGACGTCAAATAATAAGGGCATAATCAAATTCAAAACATTGACAGCAATTGGATTAATTCATTTTTTTTTCCTGTCTAATGTAAACAGTTTTACTTCAATTATATTTTTAGATTATTAATAATAAGTTAACTGTTATTTTCTTTATTCTGATATATCATATATTTATAACAAATGAAATATCAACTGTCAGAAAATTATTCCATTATCAAATCATCAAAACGACATTTAATAGTTGGATATCATTTGTATACCACATTTGTAACGCTGAATAGTTAAATTGCAATTACAAATAGCTGACTCAAACGTGGATAGAATTTAACTTATTTAAATAAAATATGTATTATCTTTCATATAGGTAATCATCTATTTGATAGCTAAAATTGAAATAGCACCTGAGTTTTTTTAAAGAGTAAATTAAGTCATGACAAATAAAGCATTGTTAAATATAAGTTTCTGCAAGTAATTATATGGAAAATATTTTGAAAAAATGAATGTATAGTTTTAATTTATGTATTTTTCAAAGGAAATTGTAATCATTAAGTTAAAATTAACATAATAGGCAGCGTGAATGATATTTATACATGAATATTGCATGAAAAAGAACTACTTTAAAGTGTTGTAGTGTACAAGGAGTAGAGTATTGATTATAGAGAATTAACTATCAGCAATACTTGATATTTTTTTTGCGCATTATTAATAATTTAGAATTTATCTAATATATGCAATAATGGATAAAAATGTTATATTTTTACAAACATACAGATAAAAAAATGTACATACCCACCTAGGTATATATAAAATACATTAGGTCAGTAAAACTACTTAGACAATTTTTAAATTTAAATACTTAAATAAAATCTAACCTTTTTATTCAAGTTTATAAAAGATGACCCAACCATTCTAAAATTGTATTAAGTATTAAAAACTGGAGTTTAATTGTAATAACTTACAAAATTATCTTGAACAATTTCTTTTATTTCATTCACAAGAAAAATATGAGGTAGTAAACTACCTAAATAATCATATTATATTCTTTGCTTTTAACTTGTTCTCAGGTGTTACGTAATTATTATTAATATACCTATGCATTACAAAATAAATTATAATGTTTTACTACCTAATTATTATTAAAGGTATACAAACTACTAACTAGCTATAGGCCAAGTATGGATAAGAGGAAATTCTTAATAATTTCATTCATAAAAAAAATATAGTTATAACCAATACCTAATAAATTAATAGGCATTGTTATCATATTCATAATACAGTTGTTTCTTAAATTTAAAAACAAATTAGATATACAGTTATGGGAATTAATAACATGGGTTTATGTAATTTTCGCTATTCTGACCCAAACACAAAACGTGAAGGTCAACTGTCAGAAAATCTTCTACCTTTCTTAAGTACCAAAACGATACCTAAGAAATAATATATCTTAATTTACCACTTTTGTAACGCTTGTAGTAAATTATTATTACTAAATGCTGACTCAAATGTGGATGAATATTTTATAAACACAGGCGGCACAGCTAGTTATCTGGCTATCTACAAACTCATAAATTTATCATGTAATATTGGGAATGGAAAATTAATATTATTAAACTAAATTGATTGCACTTGGTAGTTATTAGCTACCTACTAATTGTAGGTATAGGTACTACAGAGATCTTAAGAACTTTAAGTATGTTTCAAAAATATAAAAAAAATAGAAACATAACCTTAAAAACATACCTACTGAATATTTACAATTTTGAAAATTGATTATATTTAAACGACGTGTTACTATGCGCCAAACAAGCAATGATACAAATTACAGTAGAGGATTTAATCGAAGATTGAAGTATTATTTAGGCATGTCAAGTATAAGATACCTAGAGTTAAAATTAACTTTTGATGGTTGTTAACAATAGCCATTGGTATGTGTTCAATGGCCAATAGCCAATAAAATATGTTGTGTTGAGTTGAGTTGTTGATATTTGAATTTCAAAAGTAATATTAAATGTTGAACGAAAAGAAAGCATGTAACTTAGGGATATTTACAGACCGTGTACTCTTCAATTTCTCACACGAAATGCTAAGTCACAGACATTCCATTAAATGAGGAGATTAAAAGGGGAAAAGTTTACGTATGAATCGTTTGCCGGAAATCCGGCAGAATGACCATTGACCACCACCCGGTAAGTATAGCCATGTAGGCAATTTTATAACCGATCTAAGATGAGCTCACAAAACCGAAGCTTGCTTTTGCTTTAATATGCGCCAAATACGTACCTAACCTCAAAAAATAAAAGAAAACTCAGAACGATAACGTGAAAGGCACGTCAGACCGGCCACCTAGAGTGCACATGCACTGATCACCTTTAACCCACCGAATACCATATGTTCTAGAACATTCTTGGGGACGAAACCAACTTCGTCAAGCATCAAGGCTTCCGCAACACGGTAGCATCACCGGGCCATGTGCACAGAACACGCGTGTTTTACGTGCAAGTCGGGTCCAGAGGCAACGGCAGCAGTAGCAGCCGAATTCACCGACGTCGAGGGGCACCACGTGTTCCTGTTGGACACGCGAACCCCCGGCGTGGGGGGGAAGACGTCCACCAAAGCGATTTACACACAACGTAAAAAAAAAAACAACTGTGCTCAAATGAAGAAAACTTCTATGTACCTGGGTCGCACTATTGTCCATTGTCGTCGCCGCGTTGTTGTTGTTGCCGGCGGTGGCGGAGGCGATGGCGGCGGTAGTCCGTAACAGTGGCGTTCCACACTACCATTCCATGGTATTGTTTTTCACAATCTTTCGGCGGCGGTATCTTCGACAGCAACGGCGACGACGGTCAAATCGGCAAACGGTACGTTACGACGCGAAACGTTAGCGCGCAACACGGGATTAGACATCGCAAAGAATACGAAGAAAATGATTGTGGCGTGTACCGTGTAGTGTGTACGAACGCGAGCAGCCGACGGAGGGACAGAGAGAGAGCCGTGTGCGTGTGACAGAGACCCTGGTGGGAGGGAATGCAGTGGAGAAATAGTAAGGAAAAAAAACTACATAATACATATATAAATCGTATATTTAAAGCCGCATGTGCGTGTGTGTGTGTGTAAACAACAGTAGTTTGTGGCCCGTCGGTGTGAGTGTGTGTATGCCCTTTCGTTCGTTTGTTGTGCACGGCGTAAACAGCGCTGTCTGCCGCTTGTGCTGCTCCCTCCCAGCCAGCCGGTCATTTTATAAACAGTACGCGACACGCGATTGGCTCGTGGATGCCGACCTTGACGGGTGACGACCAATTGGGATCACTATCACGACGGATGCCGCTCAAACATTGTCTTGGAGAAGAAAACAAGAGCGTCCGGCGATCAGAAAAACGCCGGCCGCTCACAAGCCAACCAATTGTGTTTTCTAGTCGCTCATACTCGTTATTCTTGATTCATTTGTCCGTCGTCAACACGTCTCGTCAGCCGGTCGACCAGAAAACGTGTTGTACGTTTTTTGTTCCACGATCTAACAGCTGCAGCTGCTGACGATCTATCCGTTTTTTGAGGTTACGATCTTGTGGCGTTCCGATAGTATGATTTCTGAATGTTCAGCAATCATGCAATCGGCATTTGGCAGCGCTTCCGCGTTCGAACACGCCTGGAATACTGATACTGTCGTCCACTAATTGACTTAATAACAATATGTCCTAAATATATTGTTAATACTTAATAATTTAATATGTAGCTTAATCTTTATTAATATATGATAATTATTATTATATGTAATAAAATATATTATGATGGTCTTATACTCTTATTAATCAACACTCTATATAGTTATAATAGTAAATTCATTAAAATAATATACAGTAAATTGAATACTATTCACGGTTTCCCAGCTTTGATCGAAACGATTAGCGAATCAACACATAAACGATAAAGACTTAACACATTGATATTGATATATTATTTATTATCATTATCGTAATTCGTATAATCGTGTGTCAATTGAAATTACCAATTACTAATTTGCTACTAACAAATCCTTTTATTTAGTAAATAATGTAAATCATTAATCTAGGTAAAAAAGGAACATTAAATAGGTATTTGAAGTTAAACTTCCCCAAAAATTCGTTTTGATATATTTTGCAGTGAAAGATAATAACTCATTTTTCATAAGCAACTAGTGTCATTCATGATGTATTTACTATATTTATGAAATTACTTTACTATAGTAAAAAATATAGGCAAACGGGTTGTGGATACCTCTCTTGCATCAAATTCTTAGTTTTAAAAATTTTGAGTTTTAACTATAATTTTTAACCACAAAATAATTTGAACATTTTCACGATTTTGATGAATTTTGTCAACATTTAAAATTATTGAATTGCATTATATTTTCAAACTTTTTGACTCAGAAAAATATTTTGAAGTTTCACTAAAAACCAAAATGGATTTTATCAAAACTTGGTTTTCAATGTATTTTTTTCCCCAACGTATTTGAAAAATACTGGGAATTTTAAATTTTAACCTCTCAAAAGTACCATTTATGTTAAATATGTCACCAGAAACCAAAAGAAGACCAACGTTTTCAAAATATAACATACTCATTTTTTGCTTATGTAGGTAAATGGTAATTATAATATTGACCACGGTCTGTAAATATACATTGTATTATTGTAAGATTATGTCTGCTTGCTGAGAATTAATAGGAAGATTTTGTTCGTTTCCCTAGTACCTAAGTAGTAAGTATATTTTTGTTTTTGAGAAAAAAGAATAATGGAATACTTATGTATTATACACTAAATACCACTATCAAACTTAATTTACAAAACACACTCATAAATTACTTAAAGAGTTTTACTTGAAAGCCTGCTGTAGGCAGTATACATACTAGGTATCTGGCTAGGTAAATTTGTAAAAAGTATTATGCATAGGCAGATTAAACAGCCTCCCCAGAGCCTCCCATATTTACAACTATGACAGATGACAATGTAAATCAAAAATACCATAATATGCACTATGCAGTACCTACTTTGCATTGAAAAAAACGTATTATGTTAGTTTAATAATTATTATCTTGATGCTATTTCGCCGGCAAATTTTTGTTAAACCAATGTTGGTATAATATGAATTGTTAATTCGATCATTTTAATTAAATTATTATCTTATTTTATTTTGAGAAACGATAATTGGAATAATTAATCAGAAATAAATACTGTTCTTGTAGCAGTGACAATTACCTTGTCAGCTGTCAGCGTAAAAGCTAATATATTTTGTTGTAGATAATTAGAATCTAAAAACGTTGATAATTTATATAAAAGATTTAAAAACTTAGTTGTTATTTTGAAAGTTTGAATTATCGAGTTACTACACTAAATATTCTTGTAGAAATAACAATTATTTTGATGACGTAGATATCTCATTAATCCATTATGATCAGGTATAATATTGCTAATTTATAAAAAAATATTTTTTAAAGTATGGGTTTAATTAACAAAATACAATAGTTATAATTTCTTTGATTTTTTATGAAATACATTTTCGTCTATATTCATTTCACAGTAATTTCTAGCAGCGTAGAACGAAAACTCAAAACTTAATAAACATGGAATTAATTAAAACTAGTTCGAATAAATTAATGAGACAAAGTATTGGTTAATTGAAATAAAAAATATTGTATTCAAAGAATTTTTAATATTATAAAATGGTGGTAATAAAAAACGTCTTTAATATCTTTTATATATTATAAGTTATAATAATATACACATAGGTGTATAAAGTATTGTAATTGTATTTAAAATAATTTTTTCTAGATGTAGCCCGAGCCTTCGATAGAGTTTGGCACGATGGCCTCCTATACAAGTTAAAATTATTCCTCCCAGCTCCCTACTGTCTAATAATCCAATCTTACCTCTATGGTCGTACATTTGCAGTTCGTCAGGGCGACTCAATATCCTCCTACTTTTCAATCTCTGCCGGTGTTTCACAAGGAAGGGATTTATCGCCCGATTTATTTAATAAATATACATAAGATATTCCAAAAACAACAAACACGACCATAGCAACTTATGTAGATGATACAGCTATACTCTCCTCCAATCCAGACCCCCTTCTATCTTCAAACTATCTCCAAAATCATCTCAATTTAATAAACACCTGGACAACCAAGTGAAGAATTTTAATAAATCTTGATAAATCTTTCCATGTGCCATTTTACACTGCGAAAAAATAACCTCCCCTCACTTCAATTTCCAGGAGTTGAGATTCCTACATCGAATCAGGTAAAATATTTGGGAATTTTATTTGACAAAAGATTGAAAGGGGGACCGCATTTAAAGTCCAAACGTAAAATCCTTAACAACCGCCTTCATCTACTTAGGTCGATTCTCAAATCTAAACTATCAATACACACAAAGTCCACATTGTACTAATCCCAACTCAGACCTATTTGGGCGTACGGTATACAAATCTGGGGGTGTGCCAAACCTTCTCAAGTCCGCACTATCCAAGCTCCCCAGTCCACCACTCTCCGGCGAATAGCCTCTGCACCTTGGTACGTAAAAAATGAAACCCTGCACAATGATCTAGGAATGCCAACAGTTGACCAACTAGCTAAATTAAACTATAACAAATTTCACTCTAAACTGCAACACTATCCCAATCCATCAGTCATTCGTACTCTTCCTGATAACCCACCGCGCCGACAAAAGAAACTGGTGTTGTGACTTATTAAATTAATTATAAAAAAAAAAAATTACTAGAGGGTACCATCGCTGGATGATTTCCCTCATCTTGTGCTACATGTTTATTTTATGTTTATAGTGTTATGACAGTCATCTATTTTACCTATTGTGTTGTGTAATACAGATTGTAAATTTTCTAAATAAAAAGAAAAATAATAATTTTAAAATATTGTGGGAGTAAAGAATTTATGAAAAATAAAAAAATAAGTATTATTCGTGTTCTAATGAGACTTGAGCTAACGGCGATTACGAAATTTAACTATGTAAATCGATAAATGCCGTGTACTTACTACCTAAGTACCTACCATATATTATACTTGGGCTAGTGAAACCACAGAACAATATTATAGTTGTGGTGAAACTAGAATTACTACGATACTATTAAAGTTGATAAAGATCAGAGGTAATATCAAAAATCCGTCTGCTAGGTTTACATGTGCATTAATTTTCAAACTGTCTTATAATTATGAATACTTTTCTCATTTATCTTAAATGAAAACTGCAATGAATGATTTATTTACACAATATTACAAATTGCAATTACCAGACGCTTGTCCGCGATTGTGATACGGTCAATAAATTATATCCACAAGCTGTGACTAATTAAATGATTAATCGAACAAGTAGTTAATTAAATTTAGTAAATACCTAAAGGCTAAAGTAGTATTTAAATGTTTAGATATTTTTTAATGTTAAATATTATTATTATTAATGGAAAAAGCATCAGCCCTGTTTTTAAATTTTTACACATAGCGATGTACCTCATTATTATAATCTCCACACCGATTAACTATTCAACTTTTTTCGCTCGAAATAGTACACAGGCAAACAATGGTTTCAGAGTAATTTAAAAAAATTTACAAAATTCTGAAAAAACGTATGATGGTTTAGAAATTTTGAATTTAGAAAACTATTTAAGTGGTCTAGAGTGGACTTTAAACAATCATAATATTGAAACTTAAAAAAGTTAAAAATAAATTAATCAGGGAAAAAAACCATGGCACGCTATTCAATATTATTCCTCTACAAGGAAAATCTATGAATCATAAATATGTGTTGGTTAATAAATAACCATGACAACGAAAACCTAACAAAAAATCAGTCACCGACACTCAGAAACATTTGATCGTGTATCCAGCAATAAGTATAGTTTTATATTTTTATACTCTTTATGTAGAAGACCCTACTATCTACTTTAAAGTCTGTATTCTGTAGAAGTCACAATAGTCACTACTCACCAGAATCGTGATTCAAGCATAGACCTTATACTAGTATAAGGTCTATGGATTCAAGGGTAAAAATTAGAATCTAAAAACGTCTTTGATGAGTTTATTATTATGGTGGTGTCTTCCATGATGTAAATATGTTCTTCCAT